TGGCTTGTCCCAACTCAAGAAATAATCCGCGTTTGTTCTAAAACCTAAATGCTATAAAGTGACCGGAGAACCACCGAAAGGGAGCACGAACGCGGGCCGTGCCCCGGGCTGTGCCGAACCCCGGGAGATTGGAAGGGCCTACACATGGTCGTCCCCGACCCCCGGTCGTCGCAGCCTCGGTCCGGCCAGTCCCGCTGGGCGGCTCCCTCGGGGCAATGGTCTTGCTTATCGGTACTTAGGTTTCGTGGACCGAACGCGGGTTTACCTTCTTGATGGAACAAGCCCGAGGGGGGGGGACGGGGTCAAACGATATATCAATCGCAGGCTGTCTAATTATCCCTTTCTGCCTTGGTTTTTTCTTTTCACTATGTAACAGGCATCGATAGAAAAGGCGAAAAAGTGAAAGGAATTAAAGAGTTTTCAATTGCAGAACAAGACAGGATGGCACGATGGCCTAAATACAAGAAGTGTTTGTTACAGGCACACGCAAAAGGAAATAAGAAGCGTGAGCGATCACGGAGTGCCCGGGCCCCCATGACCGGCGCCGCTAACAATGTCGTCCCAGTCGTCGCCGCCGTCATCGTCCCCGCTTCCGCTCTCCTCATCCGAGGTATGTCCGGAGGTGAACCGGGGGGCCGACCCCTCGAAGCTCGAAACAATCATGTCGGCCGCCTCCCGGAGTTGCTCCCGGGCCCTTGCTCTCCCGGTCGCGATCGCAGCAGAGGGGAAGAATCCCGTCGGGGATTAGTGTTGGCTCGGCAGAGTCCAGGCCCAGCACCCGCCGAATCACCCTCTTCGCGTCTTCCTCACCCCAGTCCCAGCGCTCGCCCACATGAGTCCGCATGGGGTCATTGGGACCGGTGTATTCCCACGCTCCACGGGATCGTTCCTGAAGAGGTGCGATGCAGCGGCGGAAGTAATCGCCAAAGACCATCGCCCCAGTGAGGCCCAGGCTCCGCAGGCCCTTGAGGCGATCCCACACCGCGTCATATTCCTCGCCCAGCTCCCACGTCGCCAGCCATGCGGCAGACCTTTCAGGAGGGCCAGCGGGAACTTGAAGTCACGGATGGTCCGGCAAAGCGGTGTAGAACTAGTCCTTCTTCCAATCCTCCCATTTCTTGTGGAGGTGGCTCTCGATGTACTGGCCCGCTGTGCCCGGTCGGGGCTGGAAGTAGCATTCCCCCACCACTACGCCTTGCAGCAGCTGCGGGATGAAGAAGGCCTGGAAAAGCCGCATCGTCGGTCGCACCCCAATGAACATCTCGCACAAATGCGCGAAGATGGCCAGCGTCATCACGGCATTAGGTGCGAGATGCAAGGCGTGAATCTCGTAGAAATCCAGAACTTCATGGAAGAATCTGGAGAGCGGCGGGATCAAGCCCGCCATGGCGAAGGATAAGAGGTGTACGAACCGCTCCGGATATCGCGGCCGTGGCCGCGACTCTCCCGCCCGCACGACGACACCTTCCGGCATGATCTTGCGAGGAAGGCTAAGGTGCCTGTCTGCCGTGATGCGGGAGGAAGGGAGCACTGCGTCCCCGGCGTCTTGGGCCATGGCAACCGGCGGAGAGATGGTGGAGAATGAGGAGTTTGAGATAGTGTGAGGAGGCGAGAGTGTTAGGGCTCGAGAAGCGAAAGGATGAGTGAGCGATTGGCGAAAGGAAGAAGGCAAAGTCTCCTTCTCCGCCCCCTTTTATCCTCGCCTCATCCGCGTTCGCCTCCTCGTTTCGCGCCCCCATAACTGCCTTCACGATCTTCGCGCCCGCGTTTGTCTCTCCGCATCCCGCGCCCAATCATTGCGTCGCCCGTTGTGTCCGCTTCCACCTTTTGTGCGCCTGTCAGTGGCACACTCGAGGTGGAGTGTGCAACGGCCATAAGCGCAAGTTGGGCAAACCGTCACCGCTTCCGTCGCAAGTGTAGCGGGCGAGAGAATCGAGGCGCGGTCTAAGTGACCCCCCCGGTTATCGCGCCCCAAGCATCTTCATCATGAGCGCAGTCAAAGGCGGTCAAACCACTGCCGTGATAAGTGCGCCAACCTAGCCACGCGATGATATCCTTTTAGATTCCCTGTCGGGCCCACAACCCCAGTTTGACGAGTCGTGAGGCGCCATGTCAAGACGATCCTAGGAAATCAATACCTGATATGGCGCCGGGGGCTACTGTCGGAGATATGGGCCCGGGGGTATGTGAAGTAGAGGAGAATTACTTTTCCTCCGGCCACGTGGCTTGGCCGGTTGGCCCCACTCACGCGCCACGCGAGTCGTAGAAGCAGCGGGAGGGGGGAGCCTCGGGGTATGACGTCACCGCCTCGGGCTCTACCGCGCCTTCGCCCCGAGGCCCTCGCCCGGCAAGCTGAACAGCCATAAATGCGCAGCGCCCCAACTGTCCCTCGCTGCATTTAATGCAGTCAGGGCAGACGTGCGGCGCGCCTAGCTAACCCCTGTCCGTCGGATGTGACCGGTCTGTGACCGGCCCGTTTTCATCACATCTGATGGATAGGGCAGTCATATCATCACGCCGCCCTTGTCCCCGGCGAAGTGGGGGTAGGTGTGACCCGTCACATCAGGGCATCACTCGAGGAAGGGCTGTTGCATGTCATCGATCATTTATGAGGGAATGACCGGGCCGTCCCCCGTGTCAGACGGGGGACGGCGCCGGGTTCCGCTCAAGAATCGGTTATTGCTTAGCTTTCGGGAGAAGGCACGTTTTGAAGCCCAAAGAAGTGAAGTGGGGTCCCCCCTCCCCCCGTGGAGAGTAGGTAGAGTCGGCACGTGTGGTATGCCCTTAAAGCTATAAATGGAGGACCCTACCCACAGAGCAAGGGGTCGATTCCCAGAAAACCTGAACTTCAGAAGAGAGGAAGCAAGTGCGCTCTCTGAAGTGAAGAAACCCTTGTAACTTCATCCATAATCCCAAGCACAGGAGTAGGGTGTTACGCTCTATTGCGGCCTGAACCTGTATAATCCGACTATGTGTAAGCTCGCTGGTAGTCTTAGGGACGAACAAGCGAATTTTGAGAGACGAGCCTCCGCCCCCGGCCGAACTCACGAAAGGGGGGTCTCACGACTCCCTGCTATTGAGGGTTTTCCCTCGACACACCCATTGCGTGGAGCGTGTCAGTATTGTCATGCTAGGCGGTCTAGCATGGTCAAAAGGTTTAGATTCAAGAAATAAGTTTTGGCTTGATATATTTTTAAAATAAAAAAAATAAAAAGTTTAAAAAATAAAAAAAATCCGTTCCAGTGACCAAGGCTAAAACAAATGAGAATGCAAAGAGTTTTCTAGGGTTCGTGCATAGCCCTTCAGCTCCAGTACAACCTTCAGTAAAAGAGGCTCAAACTACTCATTAGAAAATGATGTTGAGAAGGAGATTATTACATTCAAAACTAGACTTAGCAATATTTTCAATGATCTATGCCATGCACCACATCTCTTGACTGGCAGGATCGCCCAAGCCATAGAAATTAACCTCCTGCAGCGTAAATTGTCTCCTTGTTGGCGTAGACACCGCAAGTAGTGTATGGGCTAAGTCTGCCTCTGCCTTACCCTTGTCATACTCGATGTAACCCATCTTTCATGGTGTAGTGATGATGTCTTTGGGTATAAAACGTAAGCAATTGCCCACTGCCACAGCCAATTCGAACCGAACTTAAAATATTTGGGTTAAGTTGAGCAAATAGTTAGTTCACCTCTTATTGTATTATCCTAACATGATTGCGCGTGATTGAACCATGGTATACTTGATCATTCTTGTTTAGATGTAATCTATCAGCTTGGTTTACGTCATCTTTATTTTCTTAATGTGATATATGGCGTAAACCATCATTCTTGTTTACGTAGTGTTGATGTACCTGTGTACCTGCGATGTCCTCATCACATAACCTAATTCTTTTAGTAGCGATATTGAGATGAACAGAAGTTGTAACCAAATATCAGTATATGTAAAAAAAATATGTGCAGTGTGCCATATGTTTGAGAGGCATCAGGAGGGTTCGTTCAAGTGCAAGACACAAACCACGTTTTATTTCTCACTCGATGCTTTCGATATTTTTCCCAAACCTTTGGTTTGGTCTCTGTTTAATCTGTACGACGAAGTTATCAGTACCAGACCGTAAAGCAGAATCTGTTGGGCCCGACTTCACGAGAGAGAATTTGATATGTATACAAGTGTTTTTTGGTATTAAAACTACAAATTTCCTAGCTCTGCTATTCTATATACCATAATTGCACAATGCGAAAGCCAAAACTGCCATCTATGTACACCATGTTTCCATCAACTTCAGTTAGCATATTTCGTCAAAAACCATCTTCAAGATGGAGCAGCCAGAAGTTCCAATTGGGATGATATGAGTGCTGCTTCTTGAAGGCCTCCTAAAGGGCTACAAAATCCAGTTACCTTTCTTTTGCAAGATAAAAGCCATGTCTGGTTTAGCATTACTATGATCTCCGTTGTTGCAAAATAAGGATTTCATCACAACCTTGATTTTAATTGATGAGCTATTCATTTTGATTGGACTTGGCTTCTCAATCCAACTGGATTTATACACTACTACAGAAAGGGTAATAGGTGTCGGTTCAGAAACGCTAATAGGTGCCGGTTTTCCGAACCAGCACAAAGGAGGCTGCACTGATGATACTGGTAATAAGATGCGGAGGTGCCGGTTCTAAGCCAAAGAGCCCTGTGGCTGTCAAATAGGTGCCGGTTTTTAGGTTAAAACCGGCACCTATATGGTCCTAATAGGTGCCGGTTCTAACCTAAAATCCGGCACCTATTTGTTGGGACAAAAAAAATAAAAAATGCAGTAAATTCATCCATACAACCCCAATTCTCTACAAACCCCATTTCATCCCTACAGCCCCACATCCATACAAGACATTCATTCACATTCACATTCTCAACAAATAAAAACATACAAGCCTAAGTTAAAATTCGGTAAGTCTAAAAATTCGTAAGTTCAAAAATTCCTATCTTTAAATCCTAAACATTTGCATATATATCCTAACTCAAAATATGCCTAGTTTAAATATTCAGATTCAGACATCGTTGTTCATCAAAAATTAGAGCAGACATCGAACAGGAACAAGAAAATTCATATTGAGAAGAACATATATGAGAATCATCTACATGACACCTACAAAAATTGGAACCTGCAGTTGCACTGGAAAATGATTTGCACACAAAAGAAACTTTACAGGAGTGAAAATTGCAATTCTGATATATGTCCAGCCAGCTTTTGCCTCCTGTGCAAAAGTAGGCTGACTCACAATGTAGATGAAAATTTCACATGGAGGCATGATGCACAAGAAGCAGTACCAGCGGATGAGTCACGGAGGAGCCTATCCCGAGCTGCCCAAAGTCGTTGAGGCCCGCGGCGAACACGCGCCCGCTCTCTGCGCAAAACCAGCGTGCCAAAAATCACATACTCCCACTAATTGAGTACATTGTTAGAAATGAAGTAAAGTACTTTTGAGTATTTGTCAGTAAAATGCATAGTACTGTTGATTGCAAAACTCGGCGTCCCTATCATACTATGAAGGTCATCCTGGAAAGGATAAGGTGATGCTCCAGATTGAAGGAGAAAATAAATGTGGTCCTTTTGCAGGACAGAGCAAGAAATCCACAGTTTCTAAACCAAAGAAACGCAACAGAACAGAATTATCAAAGATTTGTGTTATGTACAATTAATCTCTAAACATCTTAGTTCAGGAATAGCTCTACATATCACATGCACTAACAAAAACCTCTGTACGACAAACTAAAAATCAAGGGAGTGCACAACTAGTTCAGAGTTGTTCTGAGTTCAGAATGCTATTTTAACGAACAACTTGGCATTCACAGCCAAGCAGATAATTCACATCCACCAAACTATAGATAGATTCACAAACAACTAAAGTGGTTAGAGATATACACAGACAAATTCTACTGACTAGACCTGCTCATCATGGAAGCAAAACCAAAAATGGCATTTACAGCCATAAAACGACATAGCTAGTTTGGCTCCTTTTGTAACTTAAGAAAGTTATCAAGTATATACATCAAACAAATCTACTTGGTTCGTTTGCAGATTAAGAAAATGAGCAAGGATATACATCACCAAATACTTGTACTTACCAGCCAAAAGTATTATCTTTTGCAAATTTTACAGCCATAAACAAGGGGTTGATAGCAAGTTCCTAACTCATTTCAGATATAATGAAGTGCATCGACCATGTTGTGAAATTGAAAACTTCAGAGCATTCATAGAACTGATTTCAATCGGAAAGTAAAAACAAAAAAAAACAAATTCAGTAGTAGATACACGTCTGGGATGCGGAGGAGTCCGCTGCAACTATGACAGATTGAGGAGGCAGGCAGGCAGCGAGTGAGGACGTGCTGAATGGAGGAGAGGCCTCATGTGCTGAATGGAGTACTTGTAGTTAACTGTCCCTAGAACTAGGATTAGTACTCCCTAATTACTGATGAATGGGTGTTGTTCTTGAGGACGTGCTTCTATTTGCACTAATTCAATCGATTAGAAATAAGAGAATGGGGGTACCGTGGGATGGATCTGCCGCCGCCGCTCGCCTCCTCCTCGCCGCCTAGCACTGCCTAGCGCCGCCGCACCACACCACCGCTGCACACCTCCTCGCCGCTGGACGCCATCGAGCCCTCCTCACTGCTGCTGCTGCCGGATGAGACCTCTCCCTCCTCACCTCGTCACCGTCGTCGCCGTCGGGAGCCCTCCTCACATCGTCGTCGTCGGCGCAGGAGGAGACCTCTCCCTCCTCCCGCACCTTGGCCGCCGCCGCCGCCACAGCCGACGACGACTTGGAGGGCGCCACGAGGAGGAGGAGGAGGAGAGGGGGGCAGGCTGCGAGGGGGACGCGCCGCTGCCGCCGCGCCGAGAGAGAGAGAGAGGGAGAGTGAACGGATAAGGGGGAGAGAGTGAATGGATAACAGTTTTAAGTAAATAGGTGCCGGTTCTATAAAAGAAACCGACACTTCATACAAAAACCGGCACTCCCACCATCGGACATGAAAAATACTATTGAAATAAAGGTGCCGGTTTTGGGTTGAGAACTGGCACCTTTGCCTTAAAACCGGCACCTATGTGTGGGGCCCGCCAACGACTAGTGTGGGAGGGAGAAGATTAAAGGTGCCAGTTTTAGGTTTAGAACCGGCACCTTTCTCTAACACAGGTTTTAGGTGTCGGTTTTATTTAAAAACCGGCACATATTTAGACATAAAGGTGCCAGTTTTTGAATATATGGTGCGTGGGGGTGGGTGCATAGGCGGGAAAGGCATTATAGGTGCCGGTTTTTGGTGTGCCGGCACCTATGGTGGCGACACCTATTTACGTTTTTGTAGTAGTGATATAAAATTGATGAACGTTTAGTAATACAAAGGATTAGTAACAGGCCAACTACATGAAATAGTTTCATCAATTAAGCACAGAACATTTTTTTTCACACAGATCTAGAATTTCTCAACAATAAGAGATGGGGATGTCAATAGTAGATCAAGCGGACGTTATTTTTCTAACACCATTTTCTCGTGGTCAAAGTTCTGCAATAATACAGTCTAAGCCGATACATCGAGCCGCTCCTCATTACACCCACACCACCATAGATCCAAAAACATCCCCAAAACAGCACAAACCATCATGGATCCATCTACCAAGACTGCACAAATAACACAAATCACAAAACACAATTCCACATAGCACAAATTGATCCAAAAAAAAATCCCCAATTCATGTAACCCAAACAGCCCACCGTCAGAGTCGCCTCCGAACCTGCCCTGCCCAATGCTGACACCGTTGCCTCCTGATCCGTCGTAGGATCTGTAGCTGACGCCACCCCACCAGCCACCGTAGCCACCGGATCCGCCGCAAGATCCATCGCTGGCGCCAACCCGCCCGCCACCGATGCCGCCGACACTGGATCTGCTGTGGGAGTCAACGTTGCGCCTGACGCAGCTTCGCCTGTTGTCACCATCTCTTGGCCAGTGGAGAGATGAGGAGGAGGAAGCCGTGGAGAGGATAGGAGGAGGGAAGTAGGGCTAGAGAGAGAGGGGCGAGTGGATAAGCTCCATCTCCCTTTGCATTAAAAAGGGGAGATCCGGCTCAATTTTTATGGGTGTCAATTTTTTAAAAAACCGGTACCTATGATATGTTTTAACCGATAACTATAATATATTAAAGTTTATTTTTTTTAAAAAAAAGGCATATATAGTATCTGTATCGGTTTTATTTAGAACCGACACCTATAGTTGCATAAAGGTGCCGGTTAAATATATTTTCAGCCTGTGGAGGTGGGAAAAGATCGATAGATGCCAATTTTAACACTTGCGGCACCTATAGTGCCGTCATCTTTGTGCATTTCTATAGTAGTGCCCCCCTCAAAAAAAAAAGTAGTGAGGCATGCATGGACTACTTTGTAGCAGCCAACTATACCTGATATAGATATCCAGATAGATCAATCAATGCGCTAACGATAATGGATTTATGCTAATGCGTACTCCTGGAAAGCGAGTACATCTGACCTTAACCGGTTCAATGTAGGAAACTAGGAATGGTAATGACCTAGGAAATATTTTCTTCCCGAAAGCGTTGTCATGGAGAAACTTTGCTTGCAATCCAACTTGAAACCCTTTTGATATATCATTGATTGGTTGGATTTGGTGACGGTGATGCGAGTTGCATCCTTTCTAGAGGGTGTTGCTACGACTATTGCTTCACCAACTCATTGTTGTCTGTATGTCGTACTCAATAGGTTCTCGTAAGTGGTTATGATTCGGCAACAGAAGGTGGTTTTATTTCTAGGCCAACTTTTCATGTATTTTTCTTTTTGCCACTTTCGTTTTTAACATTTTTTGTGTAATGGATGTATGCATCTCTAATTAGAAGAAAAGGCTAGAAGTTAATTTCATTAGCTAAAATAATAACCATGTAGGTTTGTATGTAAGTCCAAGCCTATATAAACTCTCTGTCTTGGCATGTGGGAGTAATCCCACAACAGCATCGTACAAAATAGGCACTACAAATAGGTCTCCGGAATTACTCATATATAGTCATATCTTTGTCACATACAACATTGGACAGAACAACCATATATATATCATTTGCAACTCTTACATCATAGACTTGAGAGGCCTCAGGAACTAGCACATTATATGTTGATGATTGGCTATTACAGAGAAATCCAAATCGCGTGCTTTTCTAGTGAAAGACAGGTATTATTCACATCATATTCTTTTTCGTGTGTTCATACTCGTCAGTGTTTAACATGTTTTTCCTTTTTTTTTACCGTGCTGATATGAGGTTTGCATTTTATTCTGTAATTTCTCTCTTTTTTTTTTTTAGGGTTCATCGTGCTTATCCCAGCCCCTTACACACCAACAGTAGTACTATCAAGCACAAGTGGTCTTCTTTAATTTCCATTTATTCAAGAACTACAGACAAAGCACGTACGCCGGTAGAGGAACTACTAGTTACACAGAAGCCGGATGCTTTCATTTTCTTAATATATGTCATTGTGTTCGACTGTCCATGCAAAGAAGCTATTATGGTTCTAGATAATTAATGGACATGAAGATAGGATACACGGCTACCATGCATCACTGGTGGAGAAACCCTTTGTAGTCCCGGTTCGTAACCCCCCTTTAGTCCCGGTTTCTAAACCGGGAGTACCAATTCGGGACTAAAGATCGCTATCTTTAGTCCCGGGTGAAATAACCGGGAGTAAAGATCGATCTTTAGTCCCGGTTGGTAACACCAACCGGGACTAAAGATCGAGCTGACCTTTTTTTTTTTCATGCCCCTGTTGCTGCATGGTTTATATATATATATATATATATAAACCATGCATATATATGTTTCAATACATATATATGCATACATATATATATGTATATATATATATTATATTATATTATATGTATATACATGCATAATATATATGTATTTATACATATATATATTATGCAAATGCATATGTATATAGATATATATATGAACAAAATATATTTACATTATAGAAAATGTGTACACATGCATATAGAAACATATGTAGTCATGTATTAATTACAATCCATTATATGTCCTAGCTAGCTACGATTTCGACGTAGTAGTACTCGCTGCTAGCTCAGAAGCTAAGGACCGGTGAATTGTGTTTCCGTCGTAGTAGAATTCACCCTTGGGATCAAGGATTTCTTCGTTGATGAATCCCATGAGTTGTTCTTGAACCGCCGCGATAAATTCCTTGTGTGTGGTCAGGTTATCCCTCATGCGAATAAACAATATGAATGTATAAAATTGATTAGTAATTAAACAAGAAATCGCTACGTAATGAAATTTTGAATTTATTTGTACATACATCGAGCTCTCTTGTGGTGATGATTTGGTCTGCAAGGCAGTGGCAATACTCGCACACGTAATAGCCGCATAAGTTAGTTCCCTGCTTTTGCTTTGCGCACTACAAATAAATGACAAACAACGAGAGATCTAATTAATATACACTTGTATGTATTTGAATCGGAGAAATATAAATGTAGAGCATGTGTACTCATAGGAAATTTGAACTTCCGCCTAAGTCTTTCTCTCCATTTGCCGCGGACCAAATGACGGAACCGATACCAAGCCCTACATGGAGTTTAAAGCTATGATTCGTAGTAGCAATTAACATAACAAGATTTTCTTAATTAACAAAGGAACTTATGACGGTACTTGTCTATAAGTTCGAAAACCTTGTCAAACGTAGACTCTTTTTTATCCATTGAGTCATATACGTTGACGGTGCAGGCCTCCAGGTCGATGAGTAAAAGCACCCAGTGGAATCTGCAATGTGCGTGGGATGCATTACATATGAAACACTTAGCAAGTTCGTACGGGAATGAAATTTGGTATGTAGGAAGACAGTAAAATTAAACTAACTCTGTGTTGTATGGCAACAGTATGAACGTCTTGTAATGCTGCGCCTTTAGGAGATGGACGAGATTGTCCTCTGTTTCTTGTGGATATTGGTCGAGCATTGCGACGTTTACTTTCCGAGGGTCGATGAATCCAGTATCGAAAACCCTCCGCCGTCGGGCCCTTTGAATCTCCATTCTACAACGATAAAAGGGAGTATATTATTTTCTATGGTCTACTTATATACAAGGACCTAATTAATTAAAGGAGACGTATAGTAAGAAATCTAACTGAACGATATACTTACAAAATCCAGCAACTCATAATAGAGACGTCGAGGGCGTCCAGCTGGTATAGTTCGTAGATTCCCCTGAAATTGATCCAGAGAATGTCATCTCCTTGCAAGAAGTCCGTGTCCCTGATCCTCGCTCCGATCATCTCTCTACCGGTGGCGCTCATCTCCATGTACAGCTGATGGAACTTGTACATTTGTGTGGGTAGGGACTGCAGCAGCTCAGGCTTGACAAGCGGTTTACCGAGTTCGTACATGTATTTCACTTCCGCCTTTTCGATTGGTGCGACTCCTAGCAATTGATCCGTAGTTAGACCGGTGTCAGTAATAAATTGTTCTATCGTCATTTCTTTACCGGTCACCAACGGCTCGATCTCCTGGTTTGGTTGCTCTCCAAGCTAAGGGACTGGTTTGGACTTTCCAGAAGATGCTTTCTTCAGCGTTCGCTCATAGTCCGATAGCTTGATGGCCTCCTTGACAGATGCAGACATACCCCTGAAGAAGTTCCTGACACTGGGGTCTATAGGAATCTTCTTTTCTGGACTTCGAGGCTTGAATTGTCTCTTGACTTCTGATGCAACGTAAGCGTCAAGCTCCTCTTGCGTGCAATCGTACCCCGGGTCCTTGTTCTTGGCGGCGTCAACTTTCGCCTTCTTTGTTGCCCTTGTGTGGGCAAGCGGTGGAGCTGGGGGGGCCCTTGACTTTGAAGGTGCCGGAAGAGGAGCTTGCGGGGGAGTAGGTGTAGGAGCACGAGGAGGAG